TCCTGGAACTCACTTGGTAGCCCAGGCTGGCCTCGAACTCACAGAGATCCGCCTGGCTCTGCCTCCCGAGTGCTGGGATTAAAGGCGTGCGCCACCACCTCCCAGCTTGAGAATTTTTAAAAAGGGATGTGTGGCAGTTTTCTGGGGTTCCAAACCAGTTGCTAGGAATCATGGGAGAAGAGAATGTTTATAAAGGAGCAATGTCAGCGTAGTGTGGGTATATTATTTCCAGTCCCAGGACCAATTTTTATCTTTCTGTTGGTAACGTACAGTACAATACTAGAGACTGACTCCTATATTTTTATGTAAAAACAAGTAAGATGTGGAAAGCGTTCAGTGACATAAATGTCTTGGAAAAGAGTGTTAACTATTTGCTAAGCTCAGATTATACATGCACAAATCTGTATTTATATATATGCATATGTATATATCCTCACATTAAATATCTAAAAACTGAACTAAATACATTTGAATATAAACAGTTTAAATAAAACCTGTGATGATTCCTCCAGTTAGTTAAAACTAACTCACTTTATAAATTTGATTCTAATATTGGATCTTTTTTTCAAAATGAAATACACTTGTATATTCATGTAGAATATGAGCATGCATATATATATATAAACATCCTTTAAAAGGGGTTCAGCTTTCCTTCATAACCAAAACACAATGCATATAAAGTGGGTTTTTTTGCTAAAGTTAGTGTCATTGCTCAGATTTGCACCTTCACGTTTGTGATTATACTACCAGAACAAGCAATGCATGTAGGTTTTGTCAGTTCCTTCCATCCCCAATAAACCAGTTAGCTTTCAAAGTGTGGTCATTTCTATAAAGTACACACCATTGAACTAATCGATACAGCCAGCTTACACGGAAACAGGCCACTCAAAGCGTTTGTGTTTTGTAAAATGGAGATTGTATTTCGCTGTAATAAAATCTGATGTAAAATAAATGGTTGAGTGGATTGACTAATTTTAGCTTATCTTTTCAATGCTAGAATCATTTTAGGTGGTAGAAGAGATGTAGGGATGAGGTCTGTGAGTTTTTAGACTGGTTGCAATGCAGTCTGGCATACTTGAATGATACAAGTTAATGTGACCATACTGATACATAAGTGAAGCCTTTTCTCTGTGTGCCCATTGACACCTACCATGTCTAAGACTGAATCAGCCTATTGTTCTGTTCTGGGTCACATTAGGACCTTGGAAACCAGTCTACGATGTTCTAAGAGTAATAGTGTACACACCATTACTGAGAAATAAGTGTCTAAAATATTGTGGCATCATTTAATACAAGTGTGAACACAGTGATATGTTTCAGTCAAAATTTAATATAGCAAAAGTCAGCTGTATTTGTAGTTTGGGATTGGCCTGCTTAGAGGCAATAGAGGATTTGTATTCAGTGATGTTTTATAACAATGGTCCCTCATCTGTAAAAGTAAACCATCTATTTCTATTTTTATCTAAAGGTTATACTTTAACCTGGTAGAACGTTTTCTGTTTTCATCTACTTGTGCTTCCATCTGGTAGAATTTTAAAAAGGAAGACAGCTTTCTGTTATGACATGTGCTCCTTGCTAACCTACCCTTTGACCTCTGGAATGCCCTAGGTTCTCAAGAAAGCTACCCAGGTGATTGACCTACCATGAAAACCTAACCAGCCATCTCCTTGCCTAGAATTGTATTGGTTCCCATTTCTGTATCTGTCAAGTTGATATCCTGTAAGGTGTAGCTTCTGCCTGTTTTTCCACCTTCACATTTCCTACCGAAGTGCTCCATTTCCAGTTTGTCCCATGGAGCGTCATTCTTCTGCCTTTCCCCAGCACACTCCCTCTGGAACACTCCCTCTCTCATTTCATAGACTAGATCTGGCTTACATGAAGCCCTCCAAGTAGGTGTTCTCCAAGAAGCTCATTGCTTCCATCCTTCTAGGGATGGTATACTGACTGACTAACCTCTTTTGACCTTGTTTCTAGAACTCAGTGCAAATTCCTGGGCTCTGTGGGTGTGCGAGCATGGGTGGAACTATACGGCCCATGTTTTGCTTGGTTAAGAGGAAGGAAAGCAACCACCTTAAAGATTAAGCGTGAAAAATTGAGCTGCAGAAAGTATCTTCTGCCTGAGAACAGCATGACCAGGACATCACGCATGACCAGGACATGTTCTTTTATTCTTCTTTCTCAGGTGCCAATGCAGATTATCCCACTAAGTGGAAGTGTTTGATAGCCAGACTCTACGAGTTCTGTGTCTTACAGGTTTTAATTGACAAATACCAGACATGCAATCATAAGCCTTGTTCAGAAAGAATGCGTGTCAGCATTAAGACCCTTCTGTCACATTAGAATTTTGTTTGGGTAAAAATTTCAGGAAAGTTATTTTTTTCTGTCTCTCTCAAACTATGGGGTTCGAAACTAAAATGTCACAATTATAAAACACTTCCGTATCCTCCTGATCTAATATTGCCATTTCTGAAGACAATGCTTGTTTCCTTCATGTCATAAGGAAGCAGGCTGTTTCTTCCCAGCTGCACCTGCCAGGCAGCTCTCCAAGGCCTGTTCTAGGAGAGTAACTGGCTGGTAATTGGACTGCCTTGGCAGCCTGATCTGTACTACAAAGGTAAAACCATTGTGCTTCTTGCTCTGTGGTTCCTTATTGGAAACACATGGACAGGAGTGTGAAGATGAGTGTCACAGTTATTCCCTGTGAGTCTGATTTACCTTCTTGTGTGTTCTTTAGTCTAATGCTTTCTTCCTGGAAGGTGACTCATTGTAGTGTTGCCCCTTGTTAAGGACTTGTCATGGGAATTATAGGTAATAATTCCACATGAGGTACCAGATTAAAAGTTGTAATGTTTGCTTTTAGGTGAATTCTACTCTATGTTCCCCCTGTTTTGTTTTGTTTTTCCTTTTGTGGGGGATGTGGGTGGGGGCTCGGCACATTTGCAAGACTGGCAATGACAGTGAAGGTTAAGAACATTTCTCTATAAACAGTAGAACCATTGGGATGATTTCAATCATGATTAAAGTATTCAAGTATATGACAGATCTGGGACAAACTTTAAATAACTTTCCATGTTTATTTCAAAAGTAGCTTTTAAAGACTTGCAATAGGCTTTATTGGCAAAGCAAATAGTGAAGGGATAATAATTGTAGACTTAAAGTACCCTTTCAGTATATTTGCACATACAGTTGAGAGATTCTGTTACATTGTTTAGGATAAACATTACTCAGGTTGAATATAAAATACTTTGTGGTTCCTTGGCAAGAACATGCTTTATGCTTCTTTGGTTGTCAACTCTCAGGTTAATTCTTGCTTGACAGTTCCTGATAGATGAAGTGGGTTTTACACCATGCCCAAGATGCGGGCAACCCACCAGCTACACGGCATGACAACTCTGCAGGCTGAACGACATCCTTGATAGTTATAAGGCCATGGATAGTAGCCTCCCAGAGGTTCGCAGATCTTCTGGCAGTGGGTGTAGCTCCGCCTGCATTCTATACAGCAGATTCCTTCATGATCCAGTCTAGGGTCAAATGTCATGCTCTCTCCTTCCTGCTGCTGTGAATTGGAAGACAACTATTTTATTCCCTTTAGTGAGAAGGTTACTGCATGCATAGTATTTTAAAATAAGATCCTGAGAGTTCACTGCTTCAAGAAATCAGAACAATCAGTTGTAAGTTTCCACACTTGTGCCACCACTCAGAATTCTCTCTGACATCAAGAAACCTTTGCCTACTTAGTCTCTCACCAGCAGAAAGTTGTGTGGTATTTTAATGAAGTTCCTGTAAGGAACTAAGGTTACCACTCAGAAGTGACTCACCTTGTTTTAAATAAGAGCACAAAAAGGAAGCATTATGATCAGAAGGAGCATCCTAACTATTAATTTTAAGTCAGTGGACAGGTGTCTCCCGTAGTGATGGTTCCCAGAGCTCTTGGGTATACATTTTAAACTCAACTGATCTGGGGCAGGCTGGATTTCATTTATAGTTCCAGTGCTCCCAGAGCACTGCTGAGTCACTTAATTTATCCTGCCTGTGTATCAGCAACAGAACAGAGATGCTGTCTTCATGGAGAAGAAGAGGCCCTCAGCGTTCCCAAACAAAAGCATATTTATGAAGTAAAATTCCACTGGTGGGAGGGACTTGCCCTCTGCTCAATTTGATATCTGGTTTATCTTTTCAAGGATCTACAGGGCAGGTTTCTGTATGTTTTTAAATACACATTGGATATACTGGCAAGATGCCTTTGTTTTTATTTACTTGGAGGCATTGGTGGGGTTATACAGAGTCTCAAACTAGCCCAGGTTGGCCTTGAACTCAGTATGCTGCCCAGGTTGGCCTTGATCTTGGAGCAGTCTTTGCTTCAACCTCTTGAACGTGGGGTCTATAGTTATAAGCACAGCGGTCATCCAAGTTGTTAGTTTTAAAGTCTGTAATCTCAGCATCGTCCTGGAGGTAGCTGGCTCTGTCCTGTGGGTTGGCTGCTTATTCTTAAGTCTAGTCAATGTGTGGAAAGTTAACATTTTCTTGAAAGTGGGAAAACCTTAAAGGAGCATCAGTACACTTGTTTATTCTGACAGCTGGTAACCTCTCGTCAGGTTTACTTGACTTTCTCCTCGCTAGTACTGCAAAGAGGATTCTGATATGAATTTAAGGCAGATCGAAGGCATCATGACATTTCAGTTGTAAATAGAAGTACTTTTAAAAGGAATGAATGGTTATTACACAACTTCACTGCCATTGTCCGCCTAACAGAATGAGCAATCCCTAGACACTATCTGAGACATCTGTTCAGATACTATCTTCAGAATGCCTCCCTTGCTCCCTCAGACCATTCTCCAGACTGCTTTCCCCCTTATCTCCTGAAATAGGCTCATTTAGAACAGTAAGGAGACAGCAGCCCCCTGATTAATCGCAGCGACTTCTCTGGGGTAGAGGGTGCATAAGCGTTAATGGAGGTGTTTCCTCATAGGGAGGTTCAACGGGGCTTCTTTGGATTCATAAAGTTGGGAGGGATCTCAGCTGTTGCTCTAGGCTTTCTCCTTAGAGGAGCATGTGAAGGACAGGAAAATGTCCTGAGGAAAATGCTTGAAGTATTTTTGCTTAATGCTCAGCATATGATAAAGGAGAAAGTTGATATAATTGGAGTGTTTCAAGGGATGTGGATTACTGGAATCTGTAGCCAGGGTAGACACGTCACATCCCTTCTGTAAAGTGCCTGATAGCTTCAGACCTTGAACAAATTCATCTAGCCCAGCTACCTGGGGAATAAGCTATATTAAATTTTGTTTGCCTATTCAGATTATATTTCTTGTTATTCTTTGAGCTTAGGGAATAAAGTACTATGGAGTTCTGAATTTTCTGATAAGCCTTGGGTTATTTAGAGAATACCTTTTGCTTTAAATCCCTCTAAAATACATTAGTCTAAAATGATAAACTAGAAAATACGTTTGTAATATGTGAAGCAGTGTAGGGCTGAATAAGCTGTGGGGGAGGGGGCAGATAAACAGATGATTTAGTGCAGCGGTTCCCAACCTTCCTAACGCTGTGACCCTTTAATACAGCTCCTCATGTTGTGGTGATCCCCAACTCTAACATTTATTTTGTTGCTACTTTAATTTTGCTACTGTTATGAATTGTAATGTAAATATCTGAGTTTTCCAATGGTTTTGGGGGATCCCCAAAGAGCCGTGACCTACCTTTGAGAACTGCTGATTTAGTGTGTGAAAAGTTGTTCCATCTTACACATAATTAAAGATGGGCAAAATAAGCAGAAGACATAATTTATCCACCTAGGAGAGTGGCAGAGGTTAAAAGGTTTGATGGGACTGGAGGGCAGAGTCACTGGGTTGATACTTCGCAAGCATTAGGCTTGGATTCAGTAGCCCTGACGTGCCATCCCATATGTCAGTTTGGTAGGGCATGGGGCCTTTCATTACCTTTCACAGACACATAGATGGTGTGGTCCTTGGAAAACAGTTTGATAACCTCCAGTAAAATGTACAACCCCTGTCTACTTAGACGCATCCGAATTATGCTTTGGTATTTATGCTGAAGACATACTTCCGTCATAGAGTCTATGCACCAAGATCCGCCTCACCTGGGTCACCTCACTTATGTGCTGCACTGTAGTAGCATTGGCAGTAGCAGATGAGAGGGAGATATTTGATGTATGCCCACCAAAGCCAAATTAACATTAAGTTTCAGCACATGCCTATCTCTATGTTAAAATGCTGCTAACTGGATAGAAGCCATTAACAGAACATGGTACAACCTCAGAGAGACAGAACACTTTCCAAAATACTGTATTCTAATTGGAAAGCAGAATGGAATCTTTGTTCTGAAAAGGTGTGTGTTTTTCTCTGTGTGTACTCCTGCAAATAAACTGGACACAGGGTTGTTAATAAGCTGTTATGGGGTGGAAGGTTTTGGAAACTCAATTTCACTGTACTTTTTTATTCTATTTTTTAAAAATGTATGCTTATACTTTATTTTAAACAAAAATCCAGCTACAGATAAACGCTTCATTTTTTCTCTTCAAATATAGTAATGGTAAATGATAAATATTTCTTAGAATATTTGCAGTTTTAATACGTTAGTGCCTTTCTCACAAACCTCAATTTCCAGCACTTCAGCTCAGTGTATTGTCACCTGTGTGTGAGTCTGTCCCCAGTCTAGGATGCGAGCCCCAAGGGCAGAAGTATCAGTTGACTGTCCGGGAACAGGGCCTGCCTGAGAAAGATCAGGAAACCCACAAATGTGTGCTGAATGGATGAACACAGTGGATATAAGCAGGGGAAGAGAATACTTTCATTCTGTGTGCTACCTCGAGGCACACTCTTGGGAACATTTTAAATGATCAGATTCCTGGTAGGATTTATTTTCATAGATTTTTTTCCTCTGACCAAAAAATAAAAAAAAATATAAAATAAAAAGCATGGGAAATGGCTTTGAATTTGCACCACATAGATGGAGATATATGAAGTCTCACTTAGAAATACACTCTCAGCATCACAGTTAATGCATTTGTCTGGGCACGTCATGAAAACACCGGTACGCACGTGGTAAGGATTGTCGGGATTGAAAGGTTCTGCGTCGTCCTGAACACTAGGCCTGGTTTCATTACTCGGTCTTCTAGGGCCTGGGTTGCCTCGTTGTTCACTGTACGGTCTTCTCGTGGTAGAGGGAGCAGTGTTTCTTACTGCTTCTCTTCTCTGTCTTTGGATCCCTGCAAAATTTCCTGTAAGTTAATTCCTTAACATGAATGAGGCAATTAGATCTGCATTTCAGAGTGACAGCCACAGATGTGAGCCACAGTCTAGCTTCCTGTTTGACTTTATAATGCTGGCTGGTGCAGGCACTGCAAGTCGGTTGACAAACCTCTGTTCTCAGGCCCTTTTTTCTTTTCCTTGCTTCAGTGTAGGAACTGGGCAGACAGAATGCTACTGATTTTTCTGCCTTCTTTGCAGTGAGGAGTGGCCAGGCAAGCTCTTTCTAACTCTCAAGACTTAAAGCAGACTAGGTGAGCGCCGTGCGTAGGAAAGCTTTTACTTTCTTAATGAAAGAGAACAGAAAGTTGTTTCTGTGTGTCCTCCCTAGATGTAAATGTGCTAGCTGGAATTAGGAACTGATAAATAAGCACAAGAGATAAGGTAGCATGCTGCAGAGAGCAAAATGGTAAGCTCAAAGGAGACTTGGTGTCATGGAGTGGACACTGATGCCGCAATCCTTATGTCTTCTGTCTTTGGGTGGTAAATATCTACAACTGCTTATATGTTGAGACCACTGCTGATCAGGTATGCTATAACCTGCAGCCCTGTGTGCTCCTAATCGACTGACCGTATAGATATAAAACTTGACATTTTCCTATGAGACATTGTCTTGGTTAATTCTTTTAAAAAATTCCCATGGTATAGAAGAAAATCAGATGTTTTTATGTATGAGGGCGTCAAGGTACAGACCAAGTGCCCGGCCAAGATCACAGACTGAGTGACATCAAGGACAGGATAGGAACCCTGGCTTCCAGCCCAGCCCTCGGGTTAGCCATCTCATCGTGTATCCTGCAGTGCAGCTGGCAAGTGAGTACCAGAGGTGGGAAGTGCCACAGAGCATTTGCTGTAGAGTCTCCTTGAGCTTGAATCTCTCTGTCTACAATGGAGACAGGAGTATCCCAATCATAGGATAGTGATAGGGCTCAGGGAAACTGAATCTAAGGGTCTTGGTGTATGATAAACACACAAATGTTAGGTAGCCTTTTTTTGTTTTGTTTTTGTTTTTTAAGATTTATTTATTTTGTATACAGTGTTCTGCCTGCATGTATGCCTGCAGGCCAGAAGAGGGCACCAGATCTCATTACAGGTGGTTGTGAGCCACCATGTGGTTGCTGGGAATTGAACTCAGGACCTCTGGAAAAGCAACCAGTGCTCTTAACTGCTGAGCCATCTCTCCAGCCTCGTTAGGTAGCATTCTTATAATTTGTTGTTTATCTCTGAGATGTGCTTTGAAGCTGTAGTTAGATTCCATGAATAGTGTGGATGGAGGAGCTCCAAGGAGACCCGAATCAGCTCACACCTGCTCAGCTAGTTGAAGGACCTAAGGCAAATTAGTCTCTCTTTATCTTAGTGAATTTCTCTGGACCTTGGGAATATGAATAGTTATATCAACAGTTGTTGGTAAAGATTAAATGGGACATTGTTTCTTACTAGGCCTGCCTGTGGCCTCAGGGTCCTTCTCCACCCTCTGCCAGGTATGACATGGCATTACTTGGTGTGGGTTGAGAGTAGGCATCTCCTCCAGACTTAGGAGCAAGATGAGACCTGTGAACACTATGAATCAGTTAGTTATGGGAGAATCAGAAGTCTATACTCTCTATTGCCTGGTAGGGTATCGTTTTGATTGTGGTAGAGCAATCATAGCAATGGACAGGGTCTCATATAACATGGGCTGGCCTCACTCACTGTGTAGCTGAGGATAGCCTTCACCTGACCCTCCCTCCTAGCGTCAGGATTAACAAGCAGTGCCACCAGGCCCAGCTCATTTTAGGGAGTTCCTGTCTTACAGTTCAGGGCATGACGCACATTCACCATCACCACCATCCATCTGTAGAACTGCCTTTTTTTTTTAAGGTTAATTGTTTTTTCTGTTCTAAACAGTGCCCCGCCTAGCCTAATGAGTTAATGCCTGCATTTTCTCCATTTCCTCATTGCTGTCTTCTAGTATTCCATAAAACCTTTCTGAAAACAGCCTATCCCATGTGTGCAAGGAGCGAGGCCTCCCTCTCCACCTGAGCCACCGCTGCACAGTAGTCCTTGGGGGACCAGTGTGTTGACCGCAGTAGAGATGAAGTGTGAGGCCTGCTGGACTTACTTGCCCTTTGTCACCCGGAAGTGGCTCAGAGGCGTGCTCCAGCCTAACCCGAGGGGCCCCTGCACTTATTTCCTCTGGCTTTGGAAGCTGATGCACGAGCCTTGCACTTGAGGGATCTCAGCCTTTACCCACAGCAGCTTTTGGCTGTCCCATAATTCTAGGTGTGAATATAATAAAGCATCGGCAGCGTGACAGCTTCTTAGCCCCCTGATACTATGCTTTAGGAATAAAGAAATGTAAAATTGGAAGGCGCCAACAACGGACATTACGGGGCAGCGTAGGAAGGAGCAGGGGGGTCATAAATAAAAGCCGCAGGTATGCAGAGGTGCTCTGTCTTCTGCCCTGTCTCTCCGCTGTGCCTTCCCTTCCACAGGCAGGTCCACCCCCACTCCCCCACCCTACCTCCTCTTTTATCTCTTGTGCTAGTTACCAAGACTCTGCCAACAACTGTCCCAAGTTACCTTTTTGTCCCAACTCAGGCCAGTGGAGGGGGCTTCTGAGAGCCACAGTGACAGGGAGACTTCCAAACCCTATGAGAGAAACTTAAAACTTTACCTTTTGGATACATGGGCTTAAGCCAGAAAATAGGGAGGTTGCCACAGAGTTCAAGGACTTTAGAACTCAAGAAGCTGTTGTCCTTCACAGGCTGGTCCACGGCCACCCAGATAAGAGAGTTTTCTTCATATTTAACTGGCATGATCTTGCCTTCCTGTAAAAATGAAATGCCTGTGAGCAGAGGATGGTAGAGCATGTTGAGTCTGGCTACTAAAGGATTATTTTGCTTTGTGCAAACTTGGGATAATTCTGTGTGTGCACAGACCATGCATGCACACTTTGAGGCTCCAGTCTCTGGCTCTCATACCCAGCACACCTCCCAACACCCTGCTCCTAGACAGCCCTGATGTGTGAATAGAAGTGTTCTGAGTCGAAGTGAAAATTACTTGATACCAACTTTGAGATTTAGGTTAATCTGATGTTTTCGATCAAAGATGTTTTTGAGGAAAAGCAATTGAACAGACCCTGCAATCCTATAAAAGATAGAGGAACCCTTCATTTGAAGTGAAAATCTTTTGGGGTTTTGTTCTGCAGCTTCCGAACAACAATGGAAGAAGCCAGTGATTGGTTCTTTAATGTCTCCAGTTCAAAGTATTATTTAACATAAACCATTTCTCCGTTCCCCAGCTATAACAAAACATATTTCAGATGTTCCCCACATCAAGCACACCACTGAGATTTCAAAGCTAAGCCCTGGATTTCCTTCTACAGCGAGATGCTGAGGGTGGTTTGATAACCCAGGAGACAAATTTATTTTTGCCAGTTGTTCCTTTCATGTATTTATTGCTTTGCAGTAGGTCGGAGAAATTAAAATGTTTTCCCCTCACTTTAGGTAAAAGCAGCACTTCATTTGTGTCTTCCCCCTCGGGCGCATGGTTGCATTAAGCAACTTAAAGTTATTGGAGGAAGGTAACACTCAGGTAATCCAGTTATTTACCTGAAATTAAATGGCTCCATCCAGGAAATGAATGCTCTCTGAGCACAGCAGCTTTGTATAACTTTAAGTTATACAAAACTGTTGAAGAATTTATGAGAGCAAGTAGCACATAAATCTGACCCATCATCGTTTGACAAAGAGTGTGGAGAGGAGGGCCTGACTGGCATGGTGCGTGTAGATACATCCTGTGAGCAAGAATGTTGTCAGTCTCGGAGCATGTGGGCTACCCGCTCCCCTTCTTTTTCTTTGCAACAGTCATGCTTTTGGTTGGAGGCAGTGGTGTGTCATTGTAAGGAGGAACACTTGCTTCTTCATGCTTCCCAGTGGCCAAAGCCAGGCAGTGACGTCCAGACTGAAATATGTTGCATGGCTGTGAGCGAGAGGCCTACCTCTCCCTATCAAAGGTAAGTCGGGGTTGGTTGGCATGGATCAGTTTTTAAAATTTATTTATTTATTTAGAGAGGGAGAGTGAGTGTAGGCCAGAGGACAACCTTGAATGTTGTTTCTCAGGTACTCCCCCCCCCCCCCCAGACAGGCTCTTTCACTGCATTGGAGCTCCTTGTAGGCTAGACTAGCTGGTGAAGCATTCCCAGGGATCCTCCTGTTTCTGACCCTCAGTGCCGGGACTCCGTGAATGTGCTACACACTGTGAGTTCTGGGGACTGAACACAGGTCCTCCTGTTTGTCCTCAGGAACTGTAATTACTGAGCAGGCTCCCTCATCCCTAAGTTCTGGGGAAGAACTGGGGAGGATGGCTGCAGCATCAGCACCTTTAGCGGTGGAAGGGGAGATGGTAATAATAAAGTCACAGAGATGCTGCCACTGAGCCAGTGCCCGCAGATGCTGGCCTCAGATCCCCACCTGCCGAGGGGACTCTAACTGGAGTCACCTGCTGCTGACACTATGACTGATTTACCCAACTGTGCTTTCTGAATTGGGTTTTATCCATCAGAGGATCTACCATGATCCTCTGTAAATAACAAAAACACAAGACAAGCTACTGGGGCTAACAGGCAAGTGCAAAGATTAAAATACAAAACTATCTGCCATAGTTAAGTAATTATTTTCAAATACTGTTATCTGAAATTGAGGGCACCTGAAATGTTTGACTAGAAGACTTTCAGAAGTATAGTCATAGCTGGGCATGGTGGCTCACACCTTTAATCCCAGCACTCGGGAGGCAGAGGCAGGCAGATGGCTGAGTTCAAGGCCAACCTGATCTATATAGTGAGTTCCAGGACAACCAGGGCTATGGAATGAGACCCTGTCTAAAAATAAAGGAAAAAAGAAAGAAAAAGGTATAATCATATGCTGGTCTGTCATTTATTCATTATAACCTACAATTTAGAACTAAAGTCAAAACAAGAATCTTGTAACAATTAATTGCATTTCTGAGAAGATTATTACACACAGGACACAAAGTTCACCAAACTGTTAACATTAGTTACTTTTAGATTATGCAGTTGTGATATTCATCTCTATACTTTCATGCATTTATCATGAGAAAAAAAATCATTAAAGCCAATGAGATGGCTCAGTGGGTAAAGGCACTTGCTACCAAGCCTGACGACCTGAGTTCAATCCCCAGGACCCACCACGTAGTGGAAGGACAGAACCAACTTCCACAGGTTATCCTGTGACCTCTTCTGCACAAGACTGCACACACACACAGAGACAAATAAAAATGTAAAGTTACATGCTACGAAGTTATGATCAGAGCTGGGTGATTTACAGCTGCAGGAGTTGCTTCTCGGGGAAGGGAAGAGAGACTGAGTTCATACCCACATGTGAGAAAAGCAGGAGTGGAGTGGCAGAACTCCACAGTAATGTCATGAAGAGAAAGAAGTGCATGGACCACAGCAGAGGAGACCCCACCCCCTCCCAGGCTGCATGCTGACTCATGGCCTCTGTTTCAGCTCACACAGAGAATGCATGGAGCAAGGGGGTCTGACCTCCATCTTACAGCAAGAACCCTGGGGTAACTGGGAGTGGATGAAGGAAGAGGACATCCCGGCTCGCTTTCAGAGCCCACGGATTGGTTTGTGGTTGTGTTTTGTTCTGTTTTGAGACATTGCCTGCTGCTGCTCCCATGGGAACCAACAATTAGGTGGTTTCCAGGCACCTTTGCCTCTATCCACCGTTTCCCTCTGTGGCCCTGAGGGATCTGACGCTCATTCACTTCCCTCTCTGGAATACTGAAGGCTCAGAGAAGATCATAATAAAATTAGCAGTTATGAGTGGCAGGCTTCCCATTCATCTTCTAGAAGATTCGAAGGCCATGGGCACAGTGTGTATGCAGCGGTTTGAAGCTGACAGACCCGCCAGATATGTTTTTATGGCTCCCAAGCCTGTCTTCCTTCCCCAACCCCTGCCACAGCTCGGATGGACACAGTCATGGGTGAGACTACTTTGTAAACCCTAAAAGTATAAGATGGGAAATATTATTATTAAATATGTTTCTAGGACACTATGCAACTCTTTAAGTACATTTAAAAAAATCAGGTTTAGGGCTGGGGTATAGCTTGTGTAGTGATTACCTAGCATGTGTGAGGCCTTACGTTCAATTGCCACAAATACAAAACCAACAAAATACCAGGCTTAAAGGCAAGTCAATGGTAAGAAAGGGAAGAATTATGTCTTTAAAATGTGTAGAGTGTGAGGTCAGCCTGGGCTATGTAGTGAGTTCCACTCTAGCCTAAGCTTTCAAGGCCAACCTGGGTAACTTAGTGACACCCTGTGTTTAAAAAATAATTGTGGGGCTGTAGCTTACTTGCCCTGCTAGCAAGGTCTTTGATTCAATTCCCTTGCTCTAACAACTAAAAACAATCCATGAGGCTTGTGTAGCTTCATTAAGCAGAATTGAACCAAAGGGAAGAACTGTAGGGGAACATCTCAGCCCAGTGCTGGAGGAAATCCACAGGACAGTGTTCCGCCCCAGCTTTCTGGAAGACGCTGGGTGACCAGAATATTTGGGGAAGAATTCCAACATTTCATGGGACTGAGGCTAGAAGGCTTCTTGAAGTCCCGTTAAATAAGATTTCACCATGGACTTTTTTATCTTTATTTTGAACTTTTTTGTTTGTTTGTTTGTTTTTTGAGCCAGGATTTCTCCGTGTAGCCCTGGCTGACCTGGAACTCGCTCTGTAGACCAGGCTGGACTCGAACTCACAGAGATCTGCCTGCCTCTGTCTCCTGAGTGCTGGGATTAAAAGCATGGGCCACCACCACCCTGCTATTTTGAACTTTTAATCACTGGTCTGATAACCATTTAACATCGGATGGATAAGGGCCATCTGAATACCAAGCCCCTAATGAATGCACTTAAACATTTTTATGTTTGTGTGTGTGTGTGTGTGTGTGCAGCCACAGCACACAGGTAGAAGGTGGAAAACAACTTGAAGGAGCTGCTGCTTTGTTCTTTCTGCCACGTGGGCTCTAGGAATCCAACTCAGGTTATCAGGCTTGGCAACAAACGCCTATACTCACTGGGCTGGCCCACCTAAAATACACTTTAAAACACAGCTTCCCTAAACCTTTAAATATGGGGCATCATGTCAGAAAGATCGTTTGGAGCCAGCAGGACAGATAAATTCTTCTGGTAGAGAAAACAAAACAAAACAAAACAACTTAAGTTCTCGTCATGAACCTGTCCAGGAAAAAGGTGGTGTCTTCAGTGTCTACCTGTTGTGTGTGTTGGCACCTACCAGCTCAGAAGAGATGCTTTGCTTGGTCACAATGCCCACCTCAGGGACACGAGCCTTCACCTGTGCCTTGATGTAGCACTTCTCTCCTCCAGCAAAACGGATCCCGGTGATCCCCTAGGAGACAAGAGTTTATTTGTCCATCTACTTATATATTCAACCCATTGAGTGTCTTGTACGTCAGGCATCCCGGGTGTTGGGTATAGGGATAAACATAAGATAAAAAATCCTGGCTCTTATGGAATTTACCAACATTGTCTCCCAAAAAGAAGAAACTGTGAATTCGGGTAGAAATAAGGGTTATAGAAAAAAAAAATAATAAAGCTGACGTAGAGGCTAGTAAAGGCAGGGAGGATGCTTTAGAGAGCACATCCAGGAGGCGTGATGATGAGGGTGATATCTGAGCCCCGTGGCTCAGGTTGGTTATCCCATCTGGGTATCTGGACTCAGATGGACTGCCGCTCTAGCCGCGCAGACTTTGCTGAGCTTGCGGCCGAGGTGAGTTCTGTCTCTGACTTTTTCTAAGCTTCTCTGTGATTTGTTGCTTGGTCCACAGTTCTCAGTTATAAACATCTTGAGATCAGTAAACGATGTGTGTGTGTGTGTGTGTGCATGAGTGTGTGTGTGTGTGTGCACACGCACGCATGCATCTGTCTGTGATCCTACAAAGCCTCTCATAAATGTTAGTCAAATTAATGAATTCCCTTAATTCTGAGCTTTCCCCAGTTACCGAGTCTGAAGTAAACAGAAAAGCTTGATACGGCACCAGCATTAAACCTTACCCCAGCACTTAGGTGTTTTGTTTTGTCCCCTCTGAGATATAAACAGTGTCTCCTCCTGGCTGGGGACCAGCCTTAAGGGACACACCGGCACAAAGCTCCCTCTGACTTTCACCTGAAGAGGACGTGAGAAGGAACTGCACATTCTGTCCCTGGAGTGTTTACTTAGATTCTGCTGACATCATTTCATAATGAATAAATGATCCCAATATTCTTAAAGGTCAGAAATTTTATGCTTCATAATGTGGACTCCACCACATGTCTGAACCCTGATAACCTCCTGGTGTGTTGAGATCAGTGTAGGACAGTGTAGGACATTTATGTGGGACTCAGCTGAACTGGCTGAGTCAATGTTAAGGCATGGGGGAAGAAAAGCATAAACCCAGAGCTGTGGGCTCAGGCTTCTTAAATGGAGAATGAAGCAAACCATAAGTCCTGCTGGAGGAGAATCACAGGAATCTACCTTACTCACATCCGGGACCTGAAACCCACAGAGCCGGCAGGTCACAGAGGAGAGGAGGGAAGATGGGGATCTTCCTGCATGGCCCATCCTTTGCTCACTCACACCATGTAAGCCCTGTCACCTTGTCCCCCTGGTCTGACTACAGCCTCTGCTTTGGGCACCAACATCCCCTGGAGAGATGTTTAAGAACAAAGTCCACAAAACCAGGCTTGGTGATACAGCACTGGGGAGGTGGAGGCAGGAGGGTCAAAAGTTCAAGGTCATCCTTAGTTATATAGTGAGCATGTAGGCCAGACTGAGGTATATGAGATCTAGTCGAAATCAACAAGCAAAACAAACCTAAAAACAGAACCCAGCTGCCGGGCCCTCCCAAAATATTCTTCTTACATTGATAATGTGGCGCTCAGTCTCTTGAGTATCCTTAAACTACCCAGATGTCCCTGATGGACAGACCACTAGAATTGAGGCCCAGCAGTTTAGGGGAAAGGGAACTTGTTCAGAGTATAATTTTTAAGTGACTGTAACAGTCTTTCAGGCCAAGTTTCTCCTGTACCTGGGGCTCATAAACATTTGTTTGTCTCAGAGTCATTGGGACGGAACCCAGAGGGCTGGGTCCCAAGCCCAGGGTGAGGGTTTCTGATGCAGCACACCTTAAGTGTGTATTTCAGCAAGCCCTGGGAGGCTGCCCTGCTGGTTCCACAAGGAATACAGCTTGAGCACCACTGACATCTGCTGTGCTGCTTCCCAAAATGCTACCACTCTGACTCTGAGTGTGAACCTAGGACTTTTAGCTTAAAAAACAAGGGAGGGAGAGAGATCACTGCTTCCCTATGTGGTAAGTTTTCTAGTTCCAGATGTGCATGCTTTCTGAGCATGAGACGCGTTGGGAGGACATCATACATCATTCCAGTACTCCTGGAGAGAGCAGAGTCCACTGCAGACCCACTACACTGAAAGAGGACCTAACACTGAGGTAATTGTGACAGTGTTGACATTGCAGAAGTTGCTGACAGTCCACGGGGTGGGACTAGTGGAGATGAATTCACACTTAACCATCATGTCTAGCTGCAAATCCGCATCAAGTGGCCAGATATATTAAGCGATTAAGCAGATGGAGAAGTACAAGAAAGGCAGGCAAACCTCCTGTGTTAGCAAACAAAGAGGGCCTTAGAAGTCAGTGATAATGAGGAAATTTGCTAACAAAGGCAACTAGTGAAGATTAAAAAAAAATCAACACTTGTTCATCAAAAGAGCCACATGCTATTGTCCCGGGTGCAGCTCCATCTGTGACCCCTAGAGGGCCTCAAGGAGGGAAGGAGTCCTGCCCCCAACAGGCATTTTAGAAATCATTGGAAGAGTCTGATGCAAAGATTGGGGTATTCTGGCCTTTTGGGATCCTCCAGAGCCCTAGAATCCTGAAGAACCAACTGACCTGGGTCCTAGGAAACAAAGCTGTTTGTAGGTATCCACCTGGCACAGAATACCGTTTTCATTTTGCATGTAAACATACAGTGACTGAGCATAGCTCACAGCACAGTGAATTTCCTACAAACAGTTACTGAGAAATGGAAATAAATTAGTTTTTGATTTTTTTTTGAGACAGAATCTCAGGCTTGTCTCAAACTCACAATCCCATTTCAGCTTTTCAAGTGCTGGGGTGTCAGGCATGCACAGCCATGCCCATCAAGAGATTGGTACTGATGCCTACCGTCAGAAGGTTTCGTAGCACTTAATTGCCAAAGCACACTGGTGACCATCTGTATTGCGGGTGTGTGCACTGGCAGTCTTTGAACGACCCATGCACACACTCGACTTTGTTAATGCCAGCTAGTGCAGCAGGCTGAGTGTGCACATAGGAAACCCATATTTCACTATAAATTACCTTCATTTTATTGTTCCTTTACATTACAGTTGAGGGTTATATCGATTTTTGAAATCAATAACCTACCTACCTTCTAGGTAAGGTTATACTGTCTTTTTTCCCCCCCTCTAGCTTTTTAAATCACAAATTTCAAATATCCACATATTAAAAGAATTATTTTCTGAAAACCCAGAATACCCATATGCGCTCACCACTACTGTCTATTTTTAGTTTTCACTCATGGCTCTTGTTACTGGTCTCAGGTCTGAGGAACTTGGCTTTAGCCAACAGCATGGATGCTTGTCAGGCTACAGTCTTTCAGAATACAAATCACGAACTGTATATCAACTCAGTCTTCTTTTGTTTCTGTCTCGGGGAACAAAGTTTAGAGCACTTGGTGTTCAGCCCTTCACCCTCTTAAGGAGTCTCTTCTATGCTGGACTGTGTTAAAACACTGGGGTGGGTCCCGGGTGTCAGTTTACGGTTCAGAGCCTTGCATGATATAACCCCACCTGCCTCTCCATCAATCTCCATTCCCATCCTTGAGCTGACCACACTGGGATCGGACTGTGAATCCTTTTGTGGTATCCTTTCCAGCCCTCCCCGTGAAAGTTCAAGCCATTCTTCAAAAGGGTTGGGGCTATAGCTCAGTGGTAGAGTGCCAGTCTAGCACAAGAAAGAAAGGCCCTTGGTCCAGCTCCCAGCACAAATCATTCCTCGGGACATTATTCAATTATTGTGTCATCGCCTGGGCTAGGCCTGTGCAAAGCCACTAATCGGCAGCGATGCCTTTGTGTGTGGAGCACACTCTACCCATAGCTCATTATGGCACATTTCTGGGCATGTGTCTTTCTCTTAGACTGGACCAGAAGGTCCTTGAAGGATAAATGTCAGTCATCTTCCATCCCTTGTGCCTAGCACCATCCCCACATATGGTGAGCCTTAATCAACACTTCCCGTATTTGACTGATGGTCTAAAATGGGGGCAAAAGTAATAGCAGATGACCACAGAGGCTGATTCATGTCTTTTCAAAAGTCCAGGCTTGTTGAAACCCATAACAGGTACTATCCATCAAAAAAATGTTCCACTCACCAGTTCTGACTCAGAGAAATGTAGGAGCTATCAAAGAGAATTGATCAGTTTATAAAATATTTGTGGCCCTGTTGGTCTATGAGAACAAAACACAATCAATACCATTATTAGAAAGAACCAAAGGATTATAAAACAGATATATAGGTTTGGGATTAAAATATTTTCAGAGGATATTCTTGATACATGAACCTCTCAAGAGTGAGGGGCCTTTTGTAATTCATCCTCAACTTTTTTTTTTGCATATTTTGACAGTGTGGCACATCATAGGTATTCAATTTTGCTCTGGATTGAATGATGTGTGTGGAGGAGCCACATTTTATTAGTTTATATTGAGTGGTAGAGAGAAAAAATGTTTTGCCCTGTCCTGGATTTTGCAGTAAAAGCATTTAATAGGTCCAGAGAAATTATACTTGTGCACAGACCAGAGCTGTTCTCAATGTGGTGACCGAACAGAGTGCAGCTGGGCACACTCAGAGCTGCAGAGCCTGTCCCCAGGGCAGGGCCCCCTCTGAACACAGCCAGAACTCGTCAGCATCAATGCTCAGCCTCTCTGAGCACTAATGCCAACATCTGCTGGGAATTCAAAAGGACTTGTGAAGCATGTTTTGGCTCCCGCAAGAGGAGTGTTTTTGCGTAAATGAGAAGCTTCTCTTCATTTTTTTCATCAATCAGAGGAAGATGGGTTGATGAGATGTTTGTAGACCCATAAACTATCAGAAGAGACATTATTTTCAAGAGCCCTCCTTCATTATGAAGTTTCACCTACTTCGTCTGCAGATTTAGCAGAAGAACCTAAATACTGATGCTTCTTCCTCATCACAGAACATAAGAGAAGAAGATTTTTGTCAGCCAACTGGAAATTTAGCCAGAGTGACACTTCTGTTACTGTTAGCAGATGCACGCTGAAGCGTCAACGAACAATCTAATGTCTCAGGTTGCCTGTAAATTAAATTTTGGTCAAAACAAAAAGAGGGCTGAAATGTTTTTGTTGTAATAGGCCATGCCAGAAAACCTGGCCTGTAATAGGGAATCCACCCATGCCTGTTTTCTGGATTAAATGGGAAATTAGAAAAATATGGAAGTAAAACCTACTGTTGTTGGGAAACTACTCCGTCATTAAAATGTCTTTATTCTCTAGAAGTCCAAAGTTTTGTCCTTGATGTCCTGAATGTTATTTGAGCATTTTCTATGTCAAGTTATAGAAAAATCACTTGGAATGACATAGCTCTCATGAGCCTTTCTTGAAGACTTTGTGCAAGTCCAAGAAGAGCTTGTTTTTGTCAATGACATATTTTTTCCATTAAAAAAAAGCCTTATTTTGATTTCTAAGTCCATGTATCTTTTATTTTCTAGAAATAAATTCATTTATTTAAGGACATGAACTGGATTAGGGTGTTTTGTCTTGCTTGTTTGTTTCATTTTTAAAAATCTTTTTTCTTGCTTGGAGATGGGAATCTCATGTTGCCAGGCTGCTTCAAACTCCTGGGCTAAGTGACCCCCCAGTATCATCCTCCCTAACAGCTGGGTCTACTGGACCCAAAGAGGTTTGGCCATTGTGTATACTCGCCCATGTTTCTTCCTTTTGAGAACATGGAAGCCAAAGCAAGACCCTTTCTCAAGGAGCACAAGTTACAAAGAGCGGGTGGGTGGCATCCGAGCTGCTGTAACGAACAGTAACCACTGGTACACATGAGAGATGCCGCCTCTCCTCAGACTGGAACAGCCGGGGCTTGCCAGTGAAACTCTCTACGTGCGTGAAATATACTTACATTCTGGAAATCATTAACTTCAATCGCTTCCTCGGCTCCGCTTCCCATTTTAAAGGTCTCCAAGTTGTTTCCAGCATCTATTTCCATGGACCCATCTTGTAATTTCCCATTGATACTCATGGTGTAATGAACATTGTAAATCTAGAAGTGAACACAAGAGTGGGTGATGCTTGCTTTCTTCCGGCAATTTGGGGCTTCTCTGCAGACCTGTGAGATGTGAGGCGGGGTTCATCTTTTTCACAGACGCATGGTAACACCATGAACAGTAATACATTTGTATTTGAGGACTTCATCCATACACCAGTCACTTAATACAGTGATTTCGTGTGTGTGTGTGTGTGTGTGTGTGTGTGTGTGTGTGTGTGTGTGTGTGTGTGTAAGCCAGATCTTAATGTCAGGTGTCTTCCTTAATCACAAACCACCTCTTTTAAAGACACAGTGTCTCACTGAACCTGGAGCTGACCAATTCAACTATACTGGCTGGCCAGCAAGCCTGTTTTGGCCCCCTTAGTGATAGGATTACTATGTGGGTTCTGGAAGATCAGATTCAGTTCCTCAAGTATGCATGGCAAGAACTTTACAAAATGAGCCATCTCCCCAGCCTGATTTATTTTAAAATGCTTTTTAAGTAAAATCTTTGGTAGTATTTGATAGCTATTTAAACAGCTCCAAGACTTGAATCTTGGCTACTGAATGGATGCTCCAGGTACCATGTCTGGACCAATTACATTAAAGCCTGTGTAGTTGGGCGCTGAGCAACAGTATTTGGTTTTCTAAAGTCTAATTCTGCTTGCACCTGGACTGAGATCCACCTATGGAGAGATTTTTTTTTCAGCCGAAACAGTGGCATCTTTGAAGATTGATTTTTTTTTTAAAGTTTATTGGTCAAGATTAGATGTGGGGAATGGCATATGGTAAAGATTTCAGACAGGACTGGGGTATGATTTACACACAACAACACTCAGGAGGCAGAAGCAGGCAGATCTCTGTGAGTTCAAAGCCAGCCTGGTATACATATTAAACTCCAGGATATCCAGGGCTACAAAGACTACCTCTGAAAAAAAAATTTCTATCACTAAATTAGATGATCCAAAGGGCTTTCTTGGTTTAGACAACTTTATCATTGCAATAGCTTAAAAATAACCAACAGCCCAGCATGCTCCTCTCCTGCTAGACCTTTCTTTCTATGTGTGGTGGGCTGGAGGCTGGGTTTCTCTTCTTTCTTTCTTTAGGACTTTAGCGATCTGTCTTCATTAACCGTCCATCATCTGGCTGTCATCTGTCTAACATACCAAGTGTTTGTGTGCTCATGCACATATACATATGTGTAAGTCTTCAAAGCAGAAAGGCCAAGAACTGAAGAAAGGACTGAAGAAAGACCATTCCTACCTCATGCCGGGTCAGCCAGTCTGAACTGTAAATAGCTGCAATTCTGGTCAAGTCTGATTTTTCTCCTGCATTATGAAGAATGACTACTACATGGATAAACACTAGAAAATGCAGTTGTTGTTACTGGATCATCACTTGGAGAAAACTCATTATCACTAGCCTCACAGACCACTATTTTATCATCAGAGAGGCAGAGATGGATTGGCCACTCCCACTCCTTCTGGGCAGCCATCTTCATTTGGTAAGAGAAAAAAAATACCAGCACCACCTTGACGTGACCATCTCTCATCCCCGCCCTACTTGCCTCCTTTCAGGAACTCAGAAACCTGCAGCTCCCTACACTGCTCTGACCATGGAGGCTACGTGTAGGATTCAGAATTAGCAGAGATGGAACAGGGCCCAGCAGCCTGCTTTACCTTCTCTCCTAGAAGCAGCCCAGTTAGGGAAGCCTGGGTTTTGGGTTTTTTTATTTTGTTTTATTTTATTTTTATTTTTTATTTTTTTTGCCGAACCAGGCCTTTTCTGCAAGCCAGCTGAGAAAGCAGGCACTGCTCTGCCCTGGGTGCTCAGAGCAGCCTTTGTACACAGGGTTAGCTCTGGCTGTCACAGGAGCCTGGCCTGTGAGTTCTTACTGCCAGTGTCCTCCACTCTGGCAGCAACAAACCAAAGCAGTGCGACATCTAAGAACTTAACCATTGAGAAATCCTTGTTAGTTGGTTCCTCGTCATCCCTCCTCCTTCCCTCCCTTCCCCCTTCTCCTTCCCTCCTCTCTCCCCCCTCCTCCAAGTCTCAGTATGTAGCCCAAGTTGGCCTTGAGCTTGTCATATTATGTAGCCAGTCTGGCTTTGATCCTTGCAGCTCTGATTTCACTTCCCACCGCTTCCACCGACTCCCTCAGCAAAGGCTCCCTAGCCTCAGCTTGCATCCTCTGGATTCAGAACTGGTCTATCTTGCGTGCTCGCCTGTCCTGGTGGCTGCAGGAGAAGCCTGTGCCCTCTTGAAGGGATGGGGGCAGAAGTGGGGGAGGGTGGAAGGCAGTCTGCAGTTTCCAAAGTTCTGGGCCCCCTGAGCTGGGCAGGAAGCTGAGCTGCTGGAGCGGCAATTACATTATCTGCTCTAAGCCCAGGGAGCTGTTGGCACCTAAGGCTATTTCTCGCCAAGTACAATGCAGTTTATTATTTGCCAAAATTCTGCTCAATATGGTGCCTTTTACAGCCAAGGATATTTGCTAATGAGTTTTTAATAAGGCCTCGGTTCTATAAGATTAATTACATAATGTTTGGGAAAATGTCTAGAAAAATTAATCTAAGAAAAAGGCCCCAAGCAATGGTCTCCTCCCCTCCTCCCTAAATGGGAGTTGTAGAGTTGTCAGTTCTCGGGCGCTGATGGGAATTTCCCATATTTCAATGCCTTGTTCCATTTGCAACAACGTGGATGAAAAATGGCCTCAATATTTGAGCTCAGTCAGTGATCCCCTCATTATTAGTACCCCGTGCTTGGTAGCCCTCCAGCTAAATTTGAGTAGACCTGTCCTTGGGGATTGAGTCATGTGAGATGGGGGCCGGGGGGGGGGGGGAGTGAACGTCACAGCTTGTTCTCCTTTGGAAACTGAGAGCAGAGGCAGTAGTCTCCTAGTCTCGCCTCGCCAGAGAAGGGGGAGTCCATCAGCTTGATGACTGTGTCTGCTTAGGGGAGACTTACCTTTTTGACTGTGCTGTGCTTGGGCGAGTTAGAATTATATCCAGGGAAAGTAGACCCATGCATAGCACAGGCACGTGCCAAATGTACTCTACTCCGAATTTTGTGATTTGTTTTCCAGACTTAAATAATATGGAACAGTATCAGACATTTTTTTTTTCCAGATTTAAAAAAAAGAACTGCCATGATTTTTCTTCATTCTCCTGTCTGTGTAGGAAATAGCAATAACTTTGATTGTTGGCAATAAAATGTGATTCACTATTCCTCTATATTCTTAGAATTTAATACTGATCTTTGAACCAGACAAGCAAACATCTTGCCGTAAAATGAAAGGTGTGGGGAAAGGGAGTCCGCTTCTTCAGTGCGGTAGCTCATCCTCTCTAAGAAGCTTGTCAGCAAGCCATGCTTGCCTTAAATACTTAAATGCCAAATGGCAATGCTTTTGTGAATTTCATGGCCAAAATATTTACCAAAAACCTTAAAAAGCAAAGCTATTTTTGTCTCTAAATGACTTCCATTATCGAGGTTTTGTTATCTAAAAGAGAGTATTTACATTCTAACACCATCAATTTTCCCAAAGGGTGACAATCTCAACCCTGCTACCAATGGGGATGTAGACGTTGAAATCATTTTCATGTTCAGATTCTCTGCTTTCATATGTGAGCATCTGGCCCAGTGTCTATATTTAAAATACAAATACATTAAGGCACTTTTCAAATCCACACAAAATACAGCGCAATTCTGATCTTACAAATTGATGCTTGTAAATTTGATATAGTCTCTAACACAGACTCAGTGCTAAATGGCATGCTTATCTACATTAGGCATTTGAGTTAAAAATACAAATTATGCAGTGACTGCCGAAGATGTGATGTGTAAAATGGTTGAATTGCTTTCAGCACCATTTTCTCTAAGTACTGGGATTCGTTCATGCTTTGAATTTCGTGGTGGGAGAGGAGAAAAAGCAGTAGTCACTGATCCTGGGAGGACAGTGATTAAGAAAGAGCCCTTTGTGTGCACCCTGGAGATGGAATTCTTTTCCATTAGTTGAAATAGGCTTAGACCCGGCGCGGCAATGGTCACCGAGATAAAATGCCCCCTTTTACATAGGTGGACACAGTCAGGTATTTAGAGAACACACTGGAGCTCTGCCCAGTGCAGACAGAGCAGTTTTTATGCTCCGGGAGAGAGTCCATCCAGCTTTAAAATAAACGAGGAGATAAAAGTGGGATGGTAGTTAGGGAGACGTTTGCCATTAAATCACAGGTGACCAGACTGAGTCTTAAAAGAGATTTGTCACCTCTAAGGAAGTCAGACTTTCTGTTTTAATAAAGAGAAGGAGGTAGGAACGAATAGGTCACCAACACAGAAACCTTAAAGGATAAAGATTTACCCCTAGCTGTGGGTCGGAATATTCTCTCTTCCCTTTTGTCCTTTTTAAATTTATAGTTTTTCTTAGCTGGGACAGGCCTTAAGGATCATTTGCTTTTTTTTGTTGTTGTTTTTTGTTTTTTTGTTTTTGTTTTTAGGATGAGAAGTTCAGAGAGGCCACGTGCCCTGCCCACTGACTCACAACTGCCTGGTGGCTGCGTTAGGCCTAGGTGGCAGAGAATGGCTTTCCCCGAAGTGTCCAGGACATCCTCGAACATTCTCCATTCCGGCTTTCGTCCTAGAAACCCTGAACTTGCCTACACTGTGGCCAGTACCCTCGTGGGGTTGGATCCACGAAGGCGGGCGGGGTGGGGGCATCCCAAGAGGACCAAGGGGAAGGAGTAAGTGGTGTCCACTGGCAGACCAGCGCTCTGGCTCCACCCAGGGGGACCGGCCACCCCACGCACCTGGCGGCCCTTGCACCCCAGCTGTGGTTGGATAGCCCTGCGAGCCACTCTTTGGACTTACGTGATTGTCATTCCCCTTCCAGAAGTAGAAGGCCCCGATGGCGCCGAAGAGCAGCAATACCGCGCCGGAAATGAGGACCACGGCTCCGACCTTGAGCAGACGCGCAGGGCTGGAGGGTTTCAGGGTCACGGTGGCATATGCCTGCAGAGCAGGAGAGGGACGGGTCGCCGCCGCCGCTGCGCCACACACACTCCCGGTCCCTGCACCGTTTCCCCGGGGCTCCTCGAGGGCTGGAGTGGGAGGCCTTGGCCCCGGCACACAGATGCCGCCGTCTCCTGAGGGTCCCTTGTCCTTAGGTGTGGAAATAACAGCACTCTTCCCCGGGAAGGGCCGCCAGCCCTGCAGACCTTCACCCTTTGCTGTCACAAGAGGTTCCCTCCACACCTGTGGTGGATCCTGCGCACCCTGCCACTCCACCCCCACACTGGGTACCCTCATTTGATGCCCTCACCCACCACACATTCGATGGCACAAATCCCTCACACCAGAATGGATCTGGCACCCACACGCAGCCTGGGTCCCTGCGTGTGGCCTGACTCCACACCAGGACCGGGGACCCAGGGGTTACTCACCGGAGGACTGCAAAACTCAATGTCATCAGGTCCTACCATGGTGATCGGAAGTTTGTCCGAGTTCTCTGCCATGGTTGAAGATGGTGAAGAAGGACACCTAGAGGCTCTGCCCCTCTGTCCCAACGACGAATGTCCCCTGCACACCAAGCAGCAGGAGCGCAGCAGCAGCAGCAGCAGCAGCAGCAGCAGCGTCCTGCTCTGGCCAGCCCTTCTGTCCCCACCCCTTCTACCACTGCACCTCTCCCCTCCCTTCTCCCTCCACCCTGGAGCAGCCTCCTCAGCTTGTCCTGCCTTCTCAGAAGTGACCTCTCCTCTCTCTCCAGGCCAAAGCCCCCCAAGTACTGTCCAGATGGGTCTGAGTGTGTAAGGGTGGGTGCATTCTTTACAGCAGGGATGTCGAGTCTTGGAAACCCCCCCTCCCCCAAATACTAGCTTGTTGGGGCAATGAGCCGTCCCTTGGGTGATTTCTTAGAGCATCAGAGGGCTTTGCCGTGACGCTGGCTGGAGGTTCTTTCTTTCTTTCTTTCTTTCTTTCTTTCTTTCTTTCTTTCTTTCTTTCTTTCTTTCTTTCTTTCTTTCTTTCTTTCTTTCTTTCTTTCTTTCTTTCTTTCTTTCTTTCTTTCTTTTTTGGTGTGTGTGTGTGTGTTTAATTTTACTTATTTTATTTTACAATACCATTCAATTCTACACATCAGCCACGGGTTCCCCTATTCTCCCCACCCCCACCCCCTCGCCTTACCCCCAGCCCACCCCCCATTCCCACCTCCTCCAGGGCAAATCCTCTCCCGAGGACTGCGATCAACCTGGTAGACTCAGTCCAGGCAGGTCCAGTCCCTTCCTCCCAGCCTGAGCCAAGTGTCCCTGCATAAGCTCCAGGTTTCAAACAGACAACTGATGCAATGAGCACAGGACTTGGTCCCACTGCCTAGTTGCCTCCCAAATTGATCAAGCCAATTGACTGTCTCACCTATTCAGAGGGCCTGATCCAGCTGGAGGCCCCTCAGCCTTTGGTTCATAGTTCATGTGTTTCCATTCATTTGGCTATTTTTTTTCAATAATTGAGTAAAACTGAAATTTATTATAAGCCACAGTTGTCCTAGGGACCTCCATACTATATATTATATATAGCCTGGAGGTTATTTCTTGAGGGTGCTGATGGAAGGGGATTGAGAGGAGAGCAGGATGGTCCAGAAGATAGGGACGTGGCTTAAGTGCCCACGTTAGGACACCTTTCCCCTGGGGCGGGGGCGGGGCCTTTGCTGGACTCTCCTGAAACCAGAGTGTGGGGCAGAGTCTTGGAGATGGCCTTGGATTCTCCAGGGGAGGGTCTTAGGTTGCAGCAACAGCAAAACCCGAGCTGAAGGGGCCTGCAGCAGAGGAAATGGGGAGCCTGGAATGAAAATGCCTACAGTTAAGTCAAAACAACAATTAAAAGACATGGAGGCCAACTTCTCCCAAACACTAATGGGATGCGTCGAAAGGAACAGCCATCATGTGTGTACGGATCACACACATATGCATAGCACCGTTAGGTGAACAGGGAAGATATTTCACCTTTTGTTGTTGTTGTTGACGACAGTCACTTGTAGCTCAGGATGACTTAGAACTCCATATGCAGCTGAAGGTGACCTTACATTTTGAATTCTCCCGCCACCATCTCTGGAGTGCTGGGATCACAGGCACTGGCCAGTGCTCCTCCGTTTGTGATGGGCGTGCTTTCCACAGAGGCACATCCCCAGCCCCGCCACCCCACTTTTTCCTCCTCCATTTTGAGGAATGTATCTTCCGCTGTGGTACCTCATTTGCAGCTAGGGTTCCTCGATTCACACTGGGGGTTTTTAGCCATTTCCGAGTTCTCTGCTGAGGAGTGACCGAGGGCTGGTGCCCGGGAGAAGATGAAGTTTTCCGAGCAGGAATGTGCAAGACTGCAGCAGGAGAGTGTTTAAGGATCAAGAAAGGCACGCTTCTGTGGAGATGCCGATGTGGGGCTGCCAGGGAAGAGAAGAGCGGGAGAGATGGCCATTAGCAGAGCTGGCGGTGGAGCTGAGGCTGGGAGGCTGGGGAGGCTGGGAGGCTGGGGAGGCTGGGG